TTTCTCATTCTCACTAATTCAAGTTTTTATATGAATGAAATCTCTGAGGGAACTGACTGCCTTCAGAAAACTTTTGATGGCATTTTCATTTTATCTTATAAAGTCGCTTTTATGAGCGGAGCTAAAGCCGTTACCGGGGAAACCGCTATATTTCTGACGTTCCAAAAGCGCCTCCTGCAAAAAAAAGTTTAAAGGCTAAATTGTGAGGTTTATCATTTTATCATTTATTTTGTTTTTGTGAAAACCTGTATCTCAACTGTAAATCAATTGCTATTTCGTGGTCTACAACATGAAAGAAAGCCATTATAACATGTACATGAAAAATGTAGAAACACTGGATACAACTATGGGCACCATTGTGCAGCAGCAAGCATCACAACAAAAAAGGAGCCTCAAGTTTGATCTATATTTTGCCTGGGGCCCCCAATTCACTAAATCCGCCCCTTCTTCGGGGTCTACAACGAGAGAAAGTTGTCTCTAGAAAAAAAAAGATCGGTTAGGCCAACCGTGGACTTTCCAGATGAGTCACAAGGACGCTGAGAATCGTGGGCCCAGTTTTTCTGTATGGTCACTTTCAATGGCCGGTTGCATAAACTGGTTATAGACAGTCTTAAAAGTTAGTCATCTATTTTTTTTTCCTGCAAGACCTGTCATAACTTTTTGAAATCAGTTATATAAAAACGAAGAATGGTCTAATTTGAATCCAAAAAGTAAAACTGATCACCACTTGGTTAACTGCTAGTCAAACCAGTTCTTAAGACACAGTCTTAATATAGTGACTATGTTTATGCAACTAACCTCTGCTCTGTCAGTGACAGCATGTCACAAGCATCGATAACATTGCGGTTTTATACGAGTTTTAAATAAAACTGGTCGCGGTAATGTGGCAGTTAATGGAAACAAAATAATAATAATAATAGTGATAATAATTTTTAAAATAAGCTACAATAAACCAATCAATTATCTAAGTTGTTACTGAGTAAAAATCTAATTGCTATAAGATTCCAAAAAGTTTAAGTTACGTTTTATAGATAAGAGTACGTTGTTGCATAAATTATTAATTGTATAAAATGTGTATACAATTGTCTGTATTACATTACTCAATTAAAAGGTATTATTTACAATTTAAAAGGATCAACTGATAACCATAACTTTTATCTACCAAATGGAATTGACACTGTTAAACTGCTTTGCAAGTTAACACCTCTGAAATGTTGACTGCTCCTGTAACTAAAATCCGGCCTTAATGAGGACTTTCGCAGACTGACGATGGGTGTTTTGGGGCCATTTCGGGATTTAGAGGGACAAAACCAACAATATTTATGATGGTTTTAAGCATCGATCACATCGACAGCTTTTAGTTTCTCCACCTGTATTTGATTAGCATTAAAGATTGCATTCCAACCTAGTTCACCCTAATACATCAAAAATTAACACGAACGTTTTCATTCTATATTTCATATAGCCTATTGTACACGGACTACTGTTTAATTCAGCTGCTGAAAATGCTGTTGGCCTATCCCACAGTCAAATTTAAAATGTTGTACTTCCTTATTTTTTATTTATTTATTTATGTTTTTTTATTATTATTATTTATTTACTTTAATTTCCAACTTCTCTTTACGTTTGTACCGAGATCCTCAAAAACAAATCAATTATGATTTTGAATTTGGTTGCAGAGGCATGGTGGTGTAATTTTGACATTCTTCAAAAAAAAAAAAAAAAGTGGCATACCTCAGTTTCTACTTTATTGAACCTCTTCATTGTCGCATCAGAAAACTTTCCATTGCGATCTTAGCGGTTCCTTTTAACGTCTTCAGGGTGAGACAATGATGGGGAAGTAACTCCCTCTGCTGTTCACTTTTCGCTAGTACATGGATGAGAAAAAAGAGTATTGTACATGTTCACCTTAACCCACTGTACCCGAATTCTCCCTGCTGTCATATTCTAAACATACAGTTTACATAATTTGCGGACGAAAATAAATATACAAGCATATATATACTTGCAGTAGCCTATACATGCACTCTAAAAACTGCTGGGTTAAATACAACCCAGCGCTGGGTATAGACTGGGTTGTTTTGACGGTCGCTGTGATTTTGCCAAATCAGACATGTTCCTGGATCACCATCTTTTGTTGATCCTGGGACAACATTACTGTCCAATAACATATTGTTTTCCTACCCCTATACCTACCCCTACCCATAATTTATCCCTAAATCAGAGGGAAATGATAGCTGAATAACAGAGGTGTAGAAGCACCTAACCCTTGTTGTAAGCCTAAAAACTGACATTTCCTGTAAACTTGTTCCTCAAATCTGGTTGATTGGGATGTTGTTCCAGGATCAACAAGGACGTTGATCCGGGAACATGTTGTACTTGGTGAAATCACATTCACCTGTTTTGACCCAGCCCAAAATAGGTTGTAAATTAAAAATCAGACACATAATTACTAGAGGCATCAGCAATAATCAAAAGGTGAACATTTATTAATAAGCAATTAAAAATGTTTATTATATATTCAACATTAATAGATGTTCATTTATTGAACATATTAATAAGTGTTAATTTCCAACCTATTTTGGGTTCATTTTAAGCAAGAAATATAGTAATTTTTAAGCAATAGTTGAGTTAAATAAAACTACTCAGAAGGTTGGATTAAACATTTAACCCAATCAAAACAACACAATCGCTGGGTTTGTCCATATTTCACCCATGAGCGCTTGGGTTGTTTTTAACCCAGCATTTTTTTTTTTATGAACTTGCAATATACAAGTAAGCAAGCAAAAGATTAAAACTAAAAACTAAACTCATCATGCCTTACCACAGGGTTATACAGAAGAACATCACTTACTGAATGAATGAATTAGTGAATAAATGATGCATTTATATAGCGCTTTATTGTGTATTATTGTACACCCAAAGCGCTTTACAATCATGTGGGGGGTCTCTCCTCAACCACCACCAGTGTGCAGCATCCACTTGGCACATCTACTGTACGTCGTATTGTCGTGTTTGATGTACAGTAGAAGACCACAGAAGATCCCAATTCTGCAGCAACAGTGTTTCCCAATACTGGTCCTGGAGCACCCCCAACAGGTGAATCGTATTACAATAAGCCTTAAAAGTACATGGATTGTCTGGTTGAATAATATCGTTTTTCACCGTATAAAGCTAATTTGCAGGCAACTAATTATTCTAGCACTATGTAGTCATCTGTCAAACTACTAACATTTTTTTTCAGTCTGGTTAATTACATATTTATAACATAATGACTGAATGGGAAAGTGAACAAATGTTCTTAATCTCGCACGAAAAATGTCTTAAAAGTTCTGATCCAATGGTGTCGTGAAATGTTCCAAAGCATCTTATAGGCCCATTTGAAAATCCTTGTAGATTTATAAGTGCTCTGAGTACAATGCTGTGCATCGATTGGCTAGGTCATCGTTAAACTTGGAATTAATTCAAAGTCATTTGACGTTACTTCAGATTATCTTTTTTGGGTGTTTAACGATTCAGCAGAGACAAATGGGTACATAAATTCAGATTTTTTTTTTTTTTTTAAATGAATACTATTAATTCCTGTTGAAACTGGAAGTTTGGGCAAGACGTATCAGGACTCGCCTCTTTTTAAAAATAACCTGTCACAGCAATGAGCTACACTTGCCAGTTCGTGTCAGCCCCAGACGACACGCCCACGGACCGCCCACTGTCTGTTAACTGGGTGCATCCCCTATTCTTTCCTGATGATGTGAGGACGGAAGAATAGATGCAAGATTTATTTGCAAAATGGAATGTCTTTTCTCACTCAAGCGCTATATTTGCGCAAGTGCATTACCTGAGTGTGCTTAAGAGATCTGCAGTTGTTCACACTTGTTTAATTAAAACATTCCTAATAAATATTAAGTTGTTGAAGTAGCCTATAGGCCTATGTGATATTTGCTTACCTAAACTGCAGTTGTCTTCTGATTTTAGGGTTGAACTCTTGGGTTTTAAAGCTCTGTGTTTCAACTTGTGGTAATTGATAATTGATTCTAGATGCATGAAATATTAGAAATACTTTTTAAACGTGTAAGATTGTTGGATAATCTCTGTGTGTGTGTGTGTGTGTGTGTGTGTGTGTGTGTGTGTGGATTAGAATCAGTGCTTGATACACAGTAACACAGAAATAGCCTATATTAATTTTTTATTTTCTTAAAATAGCATAAATATTTTTTGCTAATTTTTTTTTATACTGTTCCAAATGTCATTTCTAGTAAGTGTGTGATCTGTATGAAGACCATTACCTTAAAGATCACAGATGCCTTTCTGTCTTCTAAGTTCACACAGAAGTGAAAATTCTGGCATCATTTACTCACGCTCATTTTGTTGCAAAACTGTATGAGATTTTTTTTCATTGTATGTGCAAAACACTGAGACATTTCTCAAAATATCTTCTTTTGTGTTCCACAGAAGAAAGTAAGTCATACAGGTTTGGAAAGAAATGACAGTAAATAATTCATTTTTGGGCGAATCCTTGTAAGTATTAATATGGCAAAAAAAATGTGGGGCTGCTACGTTATGCAGTTAGTTTAAGGGGCTATTTCTGCCCTGACCCTTAAAATTAAGCTTGTTAAATTAATATTAAATAACATAATAAATACTACATGATCATATTAAATAGTCATATTAAATCATATTTAAATAATTATTGTCTTCCGTTGAAACGGGTTTAGATGAACATTGTTGAAAACACTTACATTGTTTATTTATTTATTCTTTTTTTTTTCTTTGTTTGTTTTTAATGTTTATTTGGCTTTACTCTTTTTCAAGACACCAGGATTTATCTAAAGCATCCTGAGCAACAAACACTTGGGAATATTAGGATATACTAAAATTCAGAGTGCATTCAGTTTTATTTTCTTAGTGAAAATGTGCTCAAAGTCTTGCAAAAAGCATGTACAGATTGTTAAAGAGTTTACAGAAGTGTTAGAGTTTTAATGTACAGCCTAATTATATAATTTTAAATCAGATATTTTTAGTTTAATTATTGCAGTTTGTATGTACCCCGACGAAGCCATATTTAAATCTCATAAAACATTCATTTTTTGTTGGTTGCTTTTCACGCGGAAATGTTTCTTTCTGTAGATTATTCTCTAATTCTTGTTGTTTTACTCCTTGGGTTTGAGAAGTCAAACAACAAGGGTAAATATTTGACACTGAAGAGCTCTTGGGTATTTGAGAGTACACACTTTTCCTCAAGCATACTTCTATCTGTGGGTGTCTAATAGATTAAGGAGATACGAGAGGTCATTAGAAACTAAACTGTGTGCCTACACGAGGCTTTATTTATTCTCTGAGAGCGTGCGTCAAAATTCCAAGAGCTTGGCAAACATTTTGACTCGCTTTATTCAGGTTAACATCGATACGTGGATGCAGCATGTAGCAGTTACTAACCGGCAAACGCTATTTAGAATCAAACCTTATATAACAAAAAAATAATCATTAGCCTATAAAAATCTCATTTTACATTTAGAGTAATTTTACATTTAGAGAAATGTTGTAGCCTATTTAAATAAATGGAAACGTATTTTAAAAGACTCTGATTAATCGGGAGACAGCTTGAAGTTTTATGGAAACGAAAAGTCTTTTAATTCCGTTTGAAAACGCATAACTAATAATTCAGTATAGACGTAAGCAGCTAGACGTGTAGCAGTAGATAGTTGCCCAGATCCCGTTCGGCTCCATTCAAAACCATGACAACAAGAAACAAGCACGGATTTATTCGAGAAAGTTAAAGGACATTGTGCGGGGGCGTCAATCAAGCATTATTTCAGGACTGAACAAATGCAAAATCTTGACTGGAACAAATGCTTCCAACGGGTCTCGGACGCGGGGCTACATTTCCCTCTTTTGTTCCCGGTCGCTGGTTGGCATGTATTTGTGTTCCTTTTTTCGCCCGACCACCCAGGACGACTAGACGAGAACGGATACCCACTCTGTTTGGGAGGGTCTATGCAGTCATCCAGAGCGCGCTCTAAGGCAGTCTCGGGAATCATCCGAACCCAATAATATGCATCGTGCACTTACTGGTGAGGTGCAGGAGTAAGCAAAAGTCCATAACGAAATATTACTGTCTCCTTGATGTCTGGATCTTTTCCCAAGTTCTTTATTCTGTAGTTATTTCAGATTTCTCGCTTGTTAGGAAGAAATGACCTGCTAAGTTAAACACAACTGACATAAAAGCATAAATATCAATGTTCTAGTGTAATGTCGGATATAGCTGTAAGGAAACATTCTTTCAATTTCAAAAAGCAATAAGGATTTTGTGTGATTTTACAGTACACAAAGGGCAAGCTCCTTTTCCAATAGCCACGAATATATAAATTTCATTAAAGGTCCTGCTGGTCCCCAATGACTTGCTTAGTGTGTGTTTTTTCCATACTTTCCATATAGTCAATGGGGACCAGCAACTGAAACTAAACTATCCCTTTAATTACCATGAAATAACTATCACCCCACTGTACTGAGAGAGTGCACATTTAACCCGTGTTTGTGCAATAACACCTGCAATAAACGACAATACCCCAATAAACGAATTAGGTAAACCAACTCTGGGACGCTAATGGATCACTTTGTATGCAAATATCCGTTATTTGAGGGGGAAAAAGAAGGGAGGGCTCTTGTTGTCACTTGCCACCCAAGACGTGATTCAGCCTCAACAATTACCATTATCTGTTTCCCACTTTTCACGAATTCGGACGAATCAGTAATGATGAAGAGTGTTACCCTCCATCATTGTGAAAATAACGGGCTATTCTTTGCCGAGTTCACACCTACCATTACAGGGATTTAAGTACACGAGTCATTGAGGTATACTTAGAACCCATAAGGAGGAGAGGCCTCAAAGCAACCACCAAGTGTTGTTTATATAAACACCGCGACATCAGTGTACACATTGTCACTTGGATGCAGCGTCTTGAGAACGCACACATCACTTCAGCACTGCGCGACCGAGGATAGCTCTTCAAGATCGAGAACCAGTCCTGGAACTAACAGCAATCCAGCGCTACAGATGGCTATTTCTAACAAGTTCCGTTTCACTGTGAGAAGTATTTTGGATTTGCCAGAAAATGACACCGAGAGCATCGCGCACCATTCTCCAGTGGACTCCTTCTCCGTCTCACCTTACTCG